AGTGTGTGTGAACTGGTTTATTCCTGGCTAAGATCACAAATTCAAAGGGTTCCATCAGCAGCAAGAAAAGCCATGGAACTGTTTTAGCCATTACATGAAGGTCACGCTGAGTTTCATCAGCACGCGGTTAAATCTGTTTTCAGGGGGCATTTTAGTGTTTATGGAGCTTCAGAATGACACCCCTCAGGCTGTGCACCAATCTTAGTGATGTTCAGGGGTACCACTGAACACCTGCTCCATTGTACCTGCTTGATATTCCAAGATAAGATGGAATTCATCTCTTTCCTGCATGGATTCAGGTGGCACAACTACATTGTCATCGAGCAGTTCATGGAGTTTGGGACCAACTGGGCCACAAAGGAGGATCTAGAAAACAAGGAAAAACAAACAAAGTTTCCCTTGCCATGTCCCTTGCCAAAATTTAAGCATCACCTACAGAACTGATTTTAAAAAGTTAATAATTCAGTTTTTAAAAATCAGCTTGGAAGTCCAACCATATGTTCCATCAGCAGAACCTAAGAAATAACTGCCAGATCCCCAAACCTACACAGAAGTAACACGAGACAAGCAAATTAAAGAACACAAGCAAATGGCATGAGATGTTTGGAACATGTGTGTACCTTCAGGTCTGGATTTGTCGCAAGCTTCTGCCCGATGAGAGCAGCATTTCCTCCCACGTAAAGCTGTAAAACAAACAGAGCTGGGTGTGGGCATCCCCTTGCTTTGGGACCTTCAAACACATTTAGGCCTCAGCATAGGCTGGGGATTTTGGCTTTTTAGAACAAGGTTCAGCAGTATCCAAGTTACTTAAGGTTATCGGGGCTGAAGGCAAAATGATCTTACAATTCTCTGTGAGATCTCAACAAGTTGAGCATTTTTTAGTTTTAATCTAAATATTCACCTTTAGGTAACGGCCCTGTAAAAATCAATTAATTCCCAACACTGACAGCACTGTAAAAACCAACTCATTCAGCACATAAACAGCCCTTACTCCTGTGCAACCTGTCTGTGGCTAAAGCCCTGTGTGTTTTTAGCAAGGCTGACAAGGAATCATTTAAAATCTGCAGCAATTCTTCCTCCAGTTTGAGATTGAGGTGAAACCTGATGCCTGTGCCCATGTGAAGTGAAGGGAACTGTGGAAGTTTCTTCAGTAGTAAAGATCAAACTTTCCAGTTAAACTCTGATTTGAGCTTGAAAAGCAGTGAATATGGGTTGTCCTGAGGGTCGCAGCTGCTCAGAGGAGGTGACAGAGAAGATCCAAGGGCTGCTCTGGAGCCAGGCTGGGAGAGCTGGGGGTGCTTACCTGGACAAGAGAAGGCTCCAGGTGAGAGAGAAAAGCTCAGAGCCCCTGCCAGGGCCTAAAGGGGCTCCAGGAGAGCTGGAGAGGGACTGGGGACAAAGGGTGGAGGGACACAACACAGGGAGTGGCTTCCCACTGCCAGAGGGCAGGGATGGATGGGATATTGGGAAGGAATTCCTCCTTGTGAGGGTGGTGAGGCCTTGGCACAGGTTGCCCAGAGCAGCTGTGGCTGCCCCTGGATCCCTGGAAGTGTTCAAGGCGAGACTGGACAGGGCCTGTGGCACCCTGGGCTAGTGGAAGGTGGCACTGGATGGGCTCTGAGGTCCCTTCCCACCCAAACCATTCCTGGCTTCTCTCACAGAAAACAGGCTATACAGCTGGAAATCGGGCAACTCCTCACTCCCAGCCTCTTTTACATCCTCAGCCCCATCTGGCTCCCAAGAGACATCTTTGACATTTCAGTTTGGGAATGTCAGCAGGGGAGAGACCATTTAACTCCCCCTCATTTGCAGCAGGGACAGAAAACCATTAACACAACTCAAGCTACACCACAAGCTCCTCAATGATTTGCTCCTTAGAGCAGTCAGCAGTGACAAGGAAGTAAGCAGGAGGATTCCCAAGGCTCCCCTCAGGCGCAGACCCACCTGTGCTGCAGGGTGCTCCGACGCTGTCCGTGCGATGTCCTGGAACGCTTCGGCGTCGCTGAAGAAGCGCTCGGCAGCCGCCCCTCTCTCCATGAAATGGGCAAAAGCCTCCCTCAGGTCCTGCCCAGAGCTCAGCACTGCGTGGTTCTTCCCATCGCTGGGCTCCAGGCCCAGCGCCTCCAGCAGCTTCACCCCAGACAGGACCACGTCCACGCAGGCGTTGACACTGGGAGAGAGAAAGAAAAGGTGTCCTGGGAAAACCACACAGACCTCTTGGCACACCCTGACTCTGCAGGGGGAAAACAACCAACCACAAGGGAAAAAGGCACAGGAATTTCCTGAAATTCTCTCCTAAAGCTTTCCCCATTTGACTGGCTTTTATTGTACCCAGGGAGAGATTTCTAACTTTCTGCTGAATGAAAACAAGGAAAGCTGCGTGGGCCAAAGGTGGCTGAGTATGTTACAGGTTCTACTTCATTTCCTGCCTTAGGCTTGCTTAAAAAGAACAGGCATAGGAACAGTGGCATTTTAAATTCTTAGACACTTTTAAAAGCTTCTAATACCCATGTATTTTGGGTTTAAAATGTGCATGTGATTCAAAACTGTTAAAAACAAAACTGAAAGCGTTTAAGTCAGCTAGATCAGCCTCTGGAGTTTCAATTATTCCTAATACTACTCAACCCACACACAACTCCCCACACAGGCTGGCTCTGTTTACAAAAAGTCAAGAGAGCGATTTGTCAGTTGAAATATTTGAAAACAGCAGTTTCCAAAGGATCATCCCAAACTTACAGAAATAGCATGCAGTGGAAACAAGAGAAAAAGCCTGCAATTGTAAGGGAGGAATAAGAACCATTTCAGCAGATCCAGGCTTTTTGGAAAGTCTAACTTCCAGTCTCCACGTCTCATTGATTTAACCACTGTCTAATACAGACTAAAAACAGGAGACTTTCTGGCTGGAACCAGAACCCGAGAAGATAATTTAGAAACACTTGCCCTTGTCTCACTCTGTGGTTTCAGAGTGATAAAAACAAATAGCAAATACTTCCTGAGATAACACCAGCAACTGCACAGAGATGCAATTTAAGCATCTTCTGCAGCTGCTGTCAAGTGCCATTTCTGTTCCTCTGCCCCACATTTCCTGACAGGGATCCAAACCATCTATCAAACTCGTGCAGGATCCCTGACTTTCTCCACATCTCCCCCCACGACAGTCCAAGGGCCAGTTCCTGCTCCCTGTCAGTGTGGAGTGCTCAGCACTCAGCATTCCCTTGGCACTGATTTCTCAGGAGTCAGATTTGGGCTGCAACAAAAAAAAAGGCTGCATCACACAAAATAAAGGACATGAAAAACCCTGAGGTTTTCCACTCCACGAGGTAACCAACCCCGAAATCCTCTGGATGTGCATCACCTCCTACACCAAGGACAGAGAAATTCCCTAGCATAGCAGAGAAAAGAAACCATAAATTCAAGCAGCATTTTAGCCCCGAATTTATGTTTTAATGAATCATTACAGATCCAAGGGGATAAAACTAACTCATATTCCTCTGCTAACACAGAGCTACACAGCCATGGAAGTGGATAACTCCTTCCAACATCCAAAGGATGAATCTCCCAGTCAAAGTCAAGTTACCTGCCCTGTCTATGTATTTAAAAGAGTCAAGCGCTAAATATAAGATCAATGTGACATTCCTGAACTTTCCCCTTGTTCTCTTCCCACTTTAAAAAGAGAAATGGTGTTGAATTTCTCTGAGTTCATCATCCATTGCCTTTCCCTGTCCCTTCCCGCCTTATCTCTCTCCAGCTCTGTCTGGACTTGGTTACCTCTTCCCAAAGGCAAAGGCTTCACTCCTTTCTCCATTTTATAACTTGTCTCTGGTACCTATTTATTGCCAGCCTATACTGGATGGACCAGCAGCTCCAACTGACCCTAACCCCAACCCTCAGACTGTACATAAACTTGTTTTACAGACAATCAAGCTAGGAATAATATCTCTGGAGAAGGGCTCCAACAGGGCCAGAGCCCTTAAATCCCCACCACAGGAGTGTTCTGGATCATTGATCCCCTTCACCAACATCCAACTCTGACTGAGCAGCACTGCAGGAGGTGCTGCACTTACATCCAGATCTTTTTCATGGAATAATGGAATGGTTTGGGTTGGAAGGTACCTTCAAGGTCATCTGGCTCCATCGCCTGCCATGGGCAGGGACACCTTCCACTAGCCCAGGGTGCCACAGGCCCTGTCCAGCCTCGCCTTGAACACTTCCAGGGATCCAGGGGCAGCCACAGCTGCTCTGGGCAACCTGTGCCAAGGCCTCACCACCCTCACAAGGAGGAATTCCTTCCCAATATCCCATCCATCCCTGCCCTCTGGCAGTGGGAAGCCACTCCCTGTGTTGTGTCCCTCCACCCTTTGTCTCCAGTCCCTCTCCAGCTCTCCTGGAGCCCCTTTAGGCCCTGGCAGGGGCTCTGAGCTCTCCCTGGAGCCTTCTCTTCTCCAGGTGAGCACCCCCAGCTCTGCCAGCCTGGCTCCAGAGCAGAGGGGCTCCAGCCCACAGAGCATCTCTGTGGCCTCCTCCGGATTTGCTCCAGCAGCTCCACATCCTGCTGATGTTGGAGATTCCAGAGCTGGAGGCAACTCTGCAGGAGAGGTCTCACCTGGGCGGCACAGATACGTCCCAGGCACGGGAGCCACCCCTGTGCACGCCGTGCCCGCACGTTCCATCCCGCACTCGGGGACACGGGGACGCGCATCCCGGCCCAGGCGCGCTCCCCGCGCGCTCCCGCACCTACCCGACGGCGACGCGCGCCCAGCCGCGCGCGGGGCGGACAATGGCCGCCTGCCAGGCCGCCACCGTGCGCGCCTCCAGCGAGCGGGCGCGGCGCAGCGTCCCCAGCAGCGAGGCCGAGAGCTGCCGCAGGGCCGCGGGGGGCAGCTCGGGGCCCAGCACGCACAGGTAGCCCAGCACCAGGGCCAGCAGGCCCACGCACACCGACCGCTGCCACATCGCGCCGGGCGCGCTCCGCTGCTCCTCCTCCTCCCTCGCCGCCGCGGCTGAGGCGGGGCGGCGCCGGCGGGGGCCTCCTTACGCCGCCTCCGTAGCGCCCCGCCCCCGCCGGCCTGCGCATGGCGTAAACCTCTTCGGGAATCCTGGCGCGCCGTTCCTCTTGCGCAACCTGCGTGCGGCCCGGACGTGGTGTTGCGTCACCTGCGTAAATCGGTATGAGAATAGCGCTCCCTCTGCGAAACTTGCGTGCGGCCCGGCAATGCCGTTACGTTACCTGCGTAACTCGGCCCAAGAATAGCGTAGGCGGCAGCGGGCGGCGCGTCGTGAGGGGACATGGCGGGACAGAGGCTCCCTCACGGCTCCCTCACGGCACCCTCACGGCTCCCTCACGGCACCGCCGGGCCGAGCCCTCCGGGAACGGGCCGAGCCGAGGCAACCGGGCCCCCAGGCAGCCGGGATGAGCCTGCGGTGAGAAGTGCCCCGGTGCTGCGGCCTTCAGTAGCGCTGAGCTGATGTCTGGCATCGTACCTGCACCGTCCTATGTACGCGGTACTGCTGCTCCATCCCCTCCCCGGTGTTCCTCTTCACGGCGCCATTATTTCTTTGTTCCCCGACACCTTTGTGGGTCTGTGTTGTATTCCCGCTCTGTCCCAGCAATGCAGCGCCTGTAGTCCCACAGCTCCTCTGTCCTGCCTCACACCAAAGTTTTTCTAAAGGCTCACATCCATCACCCCAGTCACTGTCTAAAGCTAATAACCACCCCTAATATACTTTTTTTTGGTGGAAAATTTCCTGGTCTGGCTCTCTTCAGTGCCTTCCCCGGGGTGAGGTGGCCTCACACTCCTGAGGCCACCGGTGCTGGAGGCAGCCTGGGAGCGCCCTTTGCTGCCTGGTGCATCTATCTCAGAGATGCTCTAGTGAGCAAGAAGGGATTTTTCCCTTTTTAATGAAAGGGAGTTTTTCTGGGCTTCTTTAGAAATCGCAGGAACGTTCACTCAGAGGCTTCTGACAAAATTTACAAGAGTTTGACAACTGTGTGCCACAGCGCGTTGGCTGAGGCAGCCGTTAATTTCCTTATTCAGTTCTGTGTTGTGAGTGATTGTCATCTCCTCAGACTCTGACAAAGCAAGCAGTAAAGGAGATAGATTAGTGCAAGGCTTTTTTGCTGATTTTTCTTTCTTTTTAGGATGGTATTTAGTCAGCAGCCATGGTCATGGATTCATGTCTGGCCCTCAGGGCTCATTGGCTGCTCATCAGGTTCCCTTTCTTCTTAGACATTGCCATAAAGGACTTCCTCATTTATTTTTGTATTCTCTTTCTCTGAAATTATTCCTCAGAGCTTTGAGAGTGCAAAGATGGGCAGGCCAGGCAGATGATGGATTCTGGTATTGCTAAGTGAAGGAGAGAGTGAGAAAAAACCCTCCTCACCTGACAGCTGATGGTGACCAGGGGCATGACTGGTTTGTGAGCCTAAAGTGATAATGATTTTTAAAAACAGAATTGTGAAGACAAAATAGAGGTCTTTCTGCCTTCCCCATTCTTTAATAGATCCTTCAAGCAGTTCTTTATCCTCTAATACCTTCCTGCTACAGCAGCCCTTCACAGAGTGGTATCTTCTCTCAGACCCTGTTCAGCCCACCAGAGTTGCTTGGTTAATGTGTAACCCCCCTTTTCCTTTGCTCAGGTAGTCTTTGGGTTTTGTCAGTAGCTTTTTCATGTGAACAGATTTAATAATTTCCTCTTTAGTGTTTTTCTGGATAATGTTTGATCTGTCTCTGTTTATGAAATCTCGCTGGTTTCACACTCCCTGGGGAAGAGGCCTTCAAGGCTCTCGTGGTTACAAACAGCCCTCCCGCCCAGGCAGGCAGAGACAACAGAGTACATACCTGCCCAAAAACCCTGCTGCAATGAGGGCTTCACCTGTGGGACCGGGGGTATTTTTAGCCTTGTCACAGAACATCATAATTAGATGTGCCCGTGGGGCAGCCTTAACCCAGAGCGTTGTCACTGCTTAGGGATCCCATTATTAGTCCCGTGTCAGGGTGTGGCTGTGAGCAGCAATCTGACACAGCAATATTTTGGGGAATTAAGGCACAATTCACAACTGGGGTGATTAGTTTGTCACCTGATGCTGATGCAGTTGTTGCCCTGAAGACTGAAGTTTGGGGTTTTTCACTACAGATGCAGTTTCCACGTCAATGCAATGGATGCTGCTGAGGAGGAGCACCTCAGTTGATCTTTGTAAACTGCTGGTCTTCAGCCTCCATGGACAGTTCTGGCAGTGCACTTGAATAAGGCTGCAAGGGTAATTGTATGATTCATTTTACAATCTGCCAACAAAAATAAGACGATTATGAAGAGACAAGTTCTCTCAGAGAACCTGTTCAGTTAAAGAGCTGAACACCCATTTCTTGGTTAACATTTATTTTTTAAGCCAATGGAGATCTTGATTTGCCTCAAACAGCAAAATTAGAGGTGAAACTGTTGATTGAGAACTGAAGCCCAGTTCCTTATTGCCTGCCCTTGAGCCACCCCACGAATTCCAGTTAGAGGTAACAGAGAGGGCTGTTGGATTCATATGAGCAAACTCAGACTGAATAGAAAGTATTTCTTAAATACCTGTTTAATTCTGGAAAATAGCAAGCTGATTGCTTCTGGGTCACTGCTGTGTGTTATTTCAAAGAGTTGAAATTGATCTCACTGAATTTTCACTGGGATACTTCTATTAAAAGCATGAGAAGAGAAGGGTAAGATTTAAAATATTTTATAGAATGGAAAGAGTTAAAATTTAATGTCAACAGTTTTCTTTTGTTTCTTTTCCCTGGTATTATGAAGTCCTTGTACAAGAAATCTTTTTCTTGACAGCTTTTTGGTGTAAGCTGCTTGTGACTTGGGGGGGCGGGGGTGGTAGAAGGCCAGTGGTTTTAATCAGTGTTCAGTTATTGGAAATGGAACTTGTTCCCTTTGGGGAAAAAAAAAAAAGAGAGAAAATATGGGGAAAAAAGAGAAAAGGTGGAAAAAAACCCTTTTTCTGCAGGAAGCAGACAAAGGATGTGATTTTTGCTTGTTTGAAGATTAGCTATGGAGAGTTGCACAGTAGCACCTGTTCTCAGGCCATGCAGAACTTGCAGACCTGTCTGTGTGAGCTTTTGACCTCACTGAATTTGCTTTTCAGACCACAGGCTTGGTTTGGACAAATGAGGGTTTGCCAGACCCTCATTAGGCAGGAGACAAGAGGGAAGGGAATGAGGGTGGGCACGGGGAGGAAAAGCAGGGAGGGGTGAAAGCCAACGGTTCTAGTTCCCAAAGGAGATCTAGAAACCTGTTTTTCTTTCTCTGAACTCACAAGCTTGAAGGAATTGTCTTTATTCCATATTGAGTTGAGTTTCCATATTCAAATGAGCTCATTCCCTTTGAGCTGCTTTGGCCAGTTAAGCTCTAGGCCAGTGCACAACACAGGGAGGGAAGGAGCCTTCCCAAAGTATGAATTCCTTTATTGTTGTTAGGATTGGTCATGTGTGTCTGCAGTGCCTGGGATGGAGTCTCTGGCTGGAGCCCATGAACACTGTGCAGGACCCAGGGCACGATTTGGATGGCAGGTCCTTGCAGCCCTTAAGAATGCTCCTGTCCTGTCCAACACTACCAGCACACTGTCCCTTATCTCTGCCTTCCCCAGGCAGTCAGTTACTCAGGTTTTATGTGTCCAGCTCACTCATCTGTGTGTCATCATACCTTGCTATCAGACTGCCTTTGCTCACAGGCCTCATTTAATCTGAGCTGAGCACTCTTCCCAGAGCCACACATCACTCCTTATACATGGAATCAGTGCCTACCTGTGACATTCCATGGGAGCCAGCAGCAGGACATGTGGGGTAGTGGTTGCTACTGGTGTGGCTTCACTGGGTGAGGAAAAGAAAAAAAACTGAAGGTAGGATTTTTGGATGGATTCTAATACAGGCCTGGAAAATTCACAAAGTTTCTGCTGAGCCATGCAGATGAGCAGAGGAGCTCTAATTAAAATACACACTCGGTGTTGTTCTCAGAAACTGGGCAACATTCCCCATCTGAGCTCTGCCAGCAGATCTCAGTCCTGGACTTCAGCACCCACTGCTGCTCTACTCTGTGAGACACCCACTCAGCTTGGCCAGCACAGCTCAATCTCAATCAGAAACATCTCGTGCTGTTCCAATTCTGGGCCCTTTATGAGCAGAAAGTGCCATCTCTCTACTAAATTGTGCCAAATTGCTTCGTTTTGGCTGCAGTACTCATTCTCACTTGTCACCTAATGGGATACCTGGGGACTTCCATCTACACTGTCAGCAGTAGAGGAAGACTCATGTGCATGCCCAGCCCCCTGCTAAGCCCCTGATTATATAGTGATGTGTTAATAACAAACACTCTTTCATGTCTTGGCAGTTGCAAACCTCTCCTCAGTAGTGCAGCACTTTAGAAGTAGAATCGCATGGGAAATATGCAAGTCCCAGTTTTAAATAATTAGTATCAGCTTCTCTGGCAACTCTGTTCCCAGAGTGAGAGCTGGGAAGAGTCTGAAGCTGCCAGATGCCATTTGTGTGGATGTTCTGCAGAATCTGAACCACATTGGAGAGATTTGCTGTTGCAAAAGTATTTCTGCACAGAGAATCTCCTTCCCTCCCTCCAAGGTTATGAATCTGCCTTCCTTGGAGACCTTGCCACCTCTCAGTTTTTGACAGCTCAGCACTGGGAAACACAACTGTTTCCATTTTGCCTGAGACACCAGGGCTAGAGTTGGCATCATCCACGTCCAAATTTATGCATTTCTTTCAACTGGAGCCAAATTGCTGGATTTTGCAGGGCTGGTTGCTCACACCCTGTGGTGGCTAGCCCGGCTTCCAGAAAATCCACAGGAACTGGAGCAGGTGTGAGCCACTACCTCTGCTAGTGAACACCCCAAGCAATCAGAGGTGGTGGCAGTGACTGCTGAGCTGCTTGTTTCTGGAGCAAATGGTTCAGATCAATGAAGATGGAACAACTAAAATTTGTGGGAAGAAGACAGGTTAGGAAATCATCCTCAGGAAATGAGAAACTTTGGTAGGAAGATGTTTTGACTGCATTTCCAGACTTGCTCTTGTGTGACTCCAGCTACAGCACTGTCAGAAACTGAGATCTGCAGTGAAACCTGTGTTTATCTGTCAGGTGTGGCCCTGTAAACATCAGCGTGATTAGATGTGTTAGAGGTTGTAGGTGCACAGTTTGTGCTAATTGGGAGTGGGGCTGCAGCTCATCCCCAGTGGGTGCAGCTGTGAGAAGCAGGTGAGCAGCACTGACAGCAATGAGCCATGGAGTGCCCAGGGGCACTGCCCAACCACCAAAGGGAGCAGAGGGCACACAGGTGCAGGGCATCAACATGAGGGGCATGGAAGGTTGGGCTGAAGAACAAGAGGAGCAGATGCTTGCAGCCTTCTGAAGTGACATGGTGTTGCTCTGTATGGGGTGAAGCTTTCTGGAATTGTATGATGATACTCTTGGGTATTCTGGTCATCTCAGCTGTGACATATGCTGC